TTGTTGCATGGATGGAACGAAACGACTGGCTCTTATCGATCTGTCCCTCGCTGGCCCAGATCTGAATTTTTGAAATTTGAACATGTTTATTAATCCGTTTATGCAGTTTTCAAGAAAGTCTCTCGGTTTTTATTATTTGTTTGTTTGAAATTTGAATCACTATAATTTAACGAAAGTAACATGTTAAAAGAAAAGCGAGAAATTTCCAGTCTGTTTAGATAATTTTTAAATTTATCACCATGGTAATCTTTTGCCTGCAGCGAAAGTTACCAGAGGGAGACTTCTACATTGACTTGGACTTCTTCTTGCTCCATCAAAACAATTACTTGGACATAATAATTATTACTCAACAATTTTAAAACCCATGATACCACAAAAAAAAAAAGGAACAGGAAAAAGAAAAATAAATGTAAAACATCACAAAACCCATAGATTTGATTCATAGTGCCTGTTTGGATAATTTGGAGAATCAATTTTAAACGTTAAAACCATGATTTTTAGAATTACATCCAAATATTCATTTTATATATGAAAATCAACCTAAAAATATGGTTTGTAGAATATTTTATATGGTTTTTTGATAATTTTTAAAAAATTATAATTGAAAACCTACAATAAAAAACATGTAATAGTAGCTTATGATATAACCGTGATTTTAAATTCATAATTGATTTTGACTTGTATAAGGTGCTTGTTTGGATTTGTATCTAGAATTAATTATTTGGACCCTAACCATGGTTTTGATTAAAAAAAAAAATTCAACACCCATTTTTTTCATGATCAATTATTTGGATGAAGACCACGTTTTTTGCCTAAGTTGGAGGAAGTAGCTTTTCAATTTAATTATACAGTCATATGCATTTATCATGTCTCAAGAAGTTCCACTTGCCAAATATGCCTAATGTGCCCCGGTGAACCATACATCCTTATTGTGTTATTGCAGCCTCTCGTGATCTCATCACGCATGCATCAATGTGATATCCATTTTCTGTCTCAAAATTTTTTTTTTTTTTGTGCTCATTGGTAATTTGTTTGGTTATAAGGAAATTAGTAGCATCAAGCTTTCAAAAATCTATTTTTATATCGGTAAACAGGGCTCATGTCCTCCTTGAGCCAGATTTACAAAATAATTTCCAGAAAAAAAAAGATTAAATGTGTTATTTAAGGAATCAACACAATTTTTTATAAATAGTTCACTTAACCAACTTTTTTTAATCTTTATAAAGTTTTATCAAATTTTTTTTGCTGGTCGATATAAATAGTTAAATATTAAAAATACATACTAAAGATTCTATATTCTGATAAAAATTACTAAATGTTAATATTAATATAATTTAAATTTCTATGATTAATCAAATATATAAGTTAAATATACTTGTATAGAGTTGAACAAATTTAATAATATTACTATATACACAACTTTATTATATTTTAATTTTTAAAAGCAATTTATTTTATGGTAATTTGTACATTTAAAATTACTTCTAACTAAATTATCCAAATATTTTTAATTTTATTAAAGAAAAAATATAACTTTGGATCCTTACACTTCGCTCGAGTTTTGCTATAGGTTCCTACACTTTTTTTTCTAATATTCTAGGTTCTTATACTTTTATTTTTTAGTGTTCTAGGTGTTATGTTTTCTCTTTTAATAAAATCAATTTCAAAAAACAATATCCAAACATTATCAAGTTATAACATAATCAATTATAATTAAAGTTAATTATATTAATTAATTTTTTTATAATCAATTAAATCCAATTGAAATTCAAACAGGCTCAAGGGTGTTTGGATAATTTTTTAAAAATTATAGTTTTTATATTTATAATTATTTTTAACATGTATAATGAGTGTTTGAATATTTTGATAAAAAATAATTTTAAATTCATAATTGATTTTAACATATTGTAATGCACTTGAATATATTTTCACAAAACCATAGTTTTACCTAATTTTTAGTTCTGCTTTTCAATTTTCTTTTTGATACTAATTTTTAATTTGATTAAAATCAATCTTATTAATCAAATTTATAAATCAATTATATATATAGTATAATATAATTAATTATATTTAAAATTAATCATATTGATCAAGTTTTTTCTAACGCATGGACAAACGACCCATAAAATTTAGTGTAAAACGACTGTCATAAAATAGTGCAGTTTAAGAATAAATCTTCCTATCTATTTTTTGTTGGCCAACAATCTTGCTATCCATTTCAAATCTAACGAAAATATTTTATTATAAAAAATAAAATAAATAAATCTAACTAAATTATTTAAAGTCAAATATACAAATAGCAAATCGCGCATCCTAAGTCCTTACAAGCATCATTCACGAGCCTAATCCCACAATTTAGCTTTCCAAGAAATTATGTCATATCAGAAAAAAGATTTCTTTTTGTTTGGTTAACAAGAAACGATTTATAGGTAGTAGATGATTCATTGTTGAAGGAACTGAGGGCTTGCAGGGGTAGGATTTGGAATGAGGAATCTAGAGAAAGGATGAGGGATATCACTGCAAAAATTGAAGAATTAATCTATTGGTGGCAGAGAGCAAGGCTGAATTTGATTAAGTTTAGGGACAAAATTCATATCTTTTTTTTTTTTCACAACACTGCCATCCAGAGACAAATAAGAAGTAAGCCGTTGAAGGCCAATAATGGTGATTGGTTAAAAGATATTGGAGAAATTGATGCTGTTTTTTTTTTTTTTTTAAACATCATAAATGTTTGTTCACATCTTCAAATCCGAGTAATATGGAAGAAGCATTAAGATATATTAGAAGATTTATTTCTGATGAAGATAATCAATTACTTGTTGCTACAGTTAATGAAGAGGAGATTAGAGATGCTGTTTTCCAGATAGGAGCCTCAAGAGTGCCTGGACTTCATGGCCATTCAGGTTTGTTTTTTAGTCCTCATGGCAGGACATTAAAAATGATGTTTGTAAAATGGCATGGGAATTTTTTGGAGAAGGTTGTAGGCTGGATATGATCAATAAAACTAGTATTGTATTAGTTTCAAAAAAATGATAAACTTAAATTAGTCAACCATTACAAACCAATTGGGCTTTGCAATGTGATTTATAAGATCATTGCAAACATTATGATGAATAGAATGAGAGGTTTGATGTTGAAGTGTGTTTCTCAACAGCAGAAGGGTTTTATCTCTGAATATATGGCTCAAGATAATATATGTTGTTCACGAGGCCTTTCATTATTTAAAAGGAAGGAAGGAGGGATCTAGAGTTGAAGTGGCTTTGAAGTAAGATATGAGCAAAGCATATGACGGTGTGGAATGGGAATTCTTGAAGCAAGTTTTTGTTGAAAATGGGTTTATGGGTTACTTGGGTAAGGTGGATTATGGAATGCATCTCTTCGGTTGAATTTGAGTTGATGATTGGTGGAAGAAGTGTTGAGAAGAAAGTGGTTGATGAGTGGCTATGCGTAGATTTGGTTCAGGAGTCGTTTTATTTGAAAAATTTAGGAGGTAACTTGTTTTCTCCTTAGTGTGTCGCCATGATAATAGGGCTGCAAATTGTTTAGTAGCATTTGGTGCTAAAGAAATTGTCCAACAGGATGGCTTAGTCAAGCGACATTCCCTTTATCAGATATCTTGCTTGCTGATGCTTCTGGGATTAAAGCTCCTTTTTTTTCATTGTGCTTGTAGGAACCTGGACAAATATGATATTAGCTAATTTCCTCTCTCCTCTCGCTCTCTCTCTCGATCTCTCTCTCTCTCCTCTCTCTCTCCTCTCTCTCTCTCTCTCTCTCTCTCTCTCTCTCTCTCTCTCTCCTCTCTCTCTCCTTTCTCTCCTCGTTTAGGTTTGTATCTAAGTTTCATTGCTTTCTGTTTTTTGAACTTATTGGTTGTACTTAGGTTTTTTTTATTGGTTGTACTTAGGTTTTATTGCTTTTTGTTTTTTGTTTTATAGGTTGTAGTAAGGTTTTATTGCTTTCTTTTTTTCTTCTCGTTGATAAGTGGGTGTAATATTTTTTTTTCTCATCAATAAAATTGACTTTTTTGGCCAAAAAAAATATTGATGAGCTTTGAATTTGTAAGACTTTTATTTACATCATACTTTTTATTTGTTTATTGAAAATTTGGTTTTTTTTTTTTTAAAAGCCCAGACGCAGTCTCGACATAAGAAAAATATTCACGCAAAAAAAAAAAAAAAATTCCGTTGTCGTGAACGAAATAATCTTGCCTCTAGAATCTCAGGTGGGAGTTGGGACTAAGGAAGGCTGTTTAGTCTATGGAGCGGTCCATGGTCTGAAGGGGGAGACCAGAACAGAACCATGATGGAGCTTTAGAGAAATATAGAACAGACAGATCCAAACCGTTACTTTGTCTCAATTGCTTCTTCGCTCTCCATTCTCTCATTTCTCATACTATTCACTCTGATCTACTCTCTTTTTCTTTTATTCTCATTTTCGAGGTATAATTCTCTTTCGTTTTCCCATCATTTCTGGTACATCGAATTCCTTCGTCGGCGGATGAGTTACTGATTGTGAAGACTTTTCCTTGTGTTCTTAGGATTGGCGGATCTTGTTTTGGTTTCTTTTGATCTTTAATTTAGCTGCATTTTCTTTTCGAACTGAATTATCTGGGTGGTGATCTGTGTGGGGGTTTGAATTTTGCTGTCAGGAGTATAGTCAAATAATGGCTGGAGGTGCTGCTGGGGGTTTTGTGACTCGAGCATTCGAGTCATTACTCAAAGAGTGTTCTTCTACGAAGAAGCATCCCGAGCTACAGAAGGCTCTTCAGACATACATAGGTTGCCAAACCTAGATCCTGTTTTACATTGCTTTTCTCTTCTCTTCTCTATTTCGGTTGTCGTTATGACCCATGCTTTTGTCTATTCCCAGCGATCTCTTATTCTAGTCCAATTAGTGGGAA